TTTCTGTTGGAAGAAAACAATATTTTGAATTAATTTACATTATTAATTGTGAAGTAATTTTCATTTATTTAAATCATATCATAATTAAAGAAAACAAAAATACATTATCATTCTTAATCATCCAAACATGAAGGAAAGAAAATGGAAAGAAAGAAAAGGACATGCAGTGTTAGAATAACATGGTTATTTTAGTTATTTTAATGTTTACCCCTGCATGGGGATATATATATTAGTATTACATAAATTTGGGGGATGTATAGTAGATTTGGCAAATTTCAGAGGTTAGAATGTTGTTGGCCCTTCTTTAATTAAAGGACTAATATAAAAAATGCCCTCGAGGTTTAGTTAAATATCTAAAATACCTTTACTATTCGAAAAAATGTAAAAAACTTTAGGCTCCATTTGGACAAGAGTTTTGAAAAACTTTTCAAAAAAGTCTTTTTGGAGCAAAATCTTAAAAAGACTTTTTGAAAAAAAAATCCATTTGGACAAAAATTTAACAAAAAGTTTTTGTAGTTAAAAATATAAAAAAGCTCTTTGGATTAGACCTTTTCCAAAAATAATTATTGCACTTTATTAAAAAAGAGAGAGAGAGAGAGAGAGAAGAAATTCCTACACAAATTTTCATTTCATTTACGATATTGATTGCCCTCTCAATAAGGCATTTCGGGTGTGTGATTTACTTCATTAATGTGCGTTCTTTTTGCTGGGAAGGGGAATCAAGGAAATTTGTGACTCTCGTTTTCTTGTGGGAACAATATATTCCGTCTAATAAGTACTTTTCTACAGACAATTATTTTGAGCCACAAGCAGTATTGCATAAGATACGAAAAACTTCAAGAATTTATGGGGATCAAACACACCCATGAAAGCCATACACCATAAACCATACACCAGAAGTCAAATTAAGTAGGAAACACCAAGAGAGAAACATGAGATGCAGCTTCTAGTACATATAATAGTGTAGTGCCACCATAGGTAGCATTTAAAAGTAATTAGCAGATATCATAAACATTCATACATGCTCGAGACAAGCAGCTGAAACATCCTAAAAGTACTAAATCCATGGGTTTTGGAGACCTATCAGCAAACTTTCAAGAGTTCTTCAAAGGAGAGACTTATCAAGATCATCGAAATATGGATGTTCCATTGCCTTCTTTGCTGAGATCCTTTTGGATGGTTCATAGTGCAACATCTCCTGCCCAAGATGAAACCAAGTACAACCAATTTATTATTGAATACTACATGATTTAGGTGTTTCATGTTGCCGCAAGTGACCAATGAAGAGAAATGAAAATTTCTCAAAACTTACAGCTAAAAGGTGCAGCCCCTTGTCATCCAGATTAGGGACGGCTGATTTGAGTGACTGAGGGCTCCAGTGAGGAAACTCGTGCCGGTTTGGTAATTTGCTCAATCCAGGCCATACATCTTCATTGGGGGTTCCCAATAACCTAAATCTACAAGAATGATTAAAACTAACAATGTTTCCAACTCAATAGCAATGGAGGAAAACCGAAGTGACAGAAATGATTAAAGCCAAAACCTGAAGATGCGCAGCAGTTGTTTGAAGCTCATAATCGCCCATGAAAAGGGCTTCCTTCGTGACAAGTTCAACTATTTTTTGTAATAAAACACAAATAAAAAGGGATAGCTTAGAATGCAGAATATACTCGATATAGCGTCTGTCAAAACTAAAGAATTTTTACACAGAATAAAGAGTCAACTGTACCAAATATGCAAGCCACAGACCACATGTCGACAGCTGTGGAATAGTGAGTAGAACCCAAGAGCACTTCTGGAGCTCTGTAACAGAGAGTTAATATCTGAAAATGCAGCATCATATGCATTAATCATACAATTTCAAATAACTTTAATTACCATCATATACTATTCTGAAAATAACTAAAGAGATGAGCAGTGAGACACACACCTCATGACTCTACTTCTTGATAGGCACAGTATAACTTCTGGCAAAACCAAGATCTGTAATTTTAAGCGTATTTGTCTTGCGATCCATCAAGAGATTGTGAGGCTTCAAATCCCTGAATCACAACAATTCTAGGCTCAATATGCTACAACATGACCAAAATGGTCGATTTTTAAAATTAAAACTTTACAACGACAATACAGGAGAGACAATATACCGATGCAGAACACCGTGCCCATTGCAGAAAGCAACTCCCTTACAGAGTTGATACATCAAGCTCTGTGAAAAAAGATCAATTTGCACAAAGGCATGTTATTTAAGACATCTCTCATCTATGGAACAAAAACCATCAAAGCAAGGGTGAAAAAACGATAAGTAAACAGAGACAATGGTGAGAACAGAAGCTAAAAGAGAAAAGCCGAAGAAGAGAAAAATGGGATACCTAAAAAGTAAGTTTAACTCATAAAGTTCATCTACAATATGTGAGATGAAGTACCCCATAATTAGAAGTATTCAATAACCAGAAATCAATGAAACATCATATGTCCACATAGAGATAGAGGTGCAGACATATGAAGCTTAGTTAAGTCATATTATGACGGCAGAAATTGCCTTAGACTTAGTACACCGTCATAAGAGAGCACTGAATCAACCTTGACACAGTCTCCACAGGAAATGACTAAAGCCCGAAAACATTCTTGGCACATTAAAGAATTTAGTACACGAATAATTACATGGTGGCTAGAAACTGATATCTAAAAGATTAAGCTAGTGATTAAACTGAATTCAGTATACAACAAAAGCCCTAAGTGTAACCGTAGATATCAGAACTATATCTAAAAGATTAAGCTAGTGATTAAACTGGTTCACAAAACAAAATTGCACTCAATATCAAAGGTTACTCGAAGAAGTTAAAAACCATAGAGAGTAATTCACAAAAGCAAAACAGAACTATATTCAAAGACAGAACCCACGAACTCAGCCTTTATACTCATTGACCCTGATAGTAACAGAATGACAATAACATTATCATATGGACAAAATTTCCCTATCATAAACTGATCAAGCGTATTGATGAATGACGATAACTTAATCCATCGCCTAGTGATATCACAATACAGTAAAAGTATGAAATTCATGTTAAAATGAAAATACAAAGTTCTGAATCACATTGTCCATACAACAAAAGATTTGGCAATCTTATGGCGTCAGCGCAATCAATAGAGAGTGCATTCATTCATGGCCATATTTTTCACGCATATCAAGTTTATGGCTTTATTCCCCAATAATAATATCTGATGTCTTATCTTTTTGAGTTGTTCCTATAATGCCCAATCACTTTAACATTTAATATAAAACACAATATAATACTGGAGCAGAACATTAGTTTGATATTCAATCTCAAGTCCATGTTACTCTTTTTCACAACTACAAATTCAGAAAATCAACCGTTTACAGGCTACGATGGTTTCCAATTTGTCAAGAATCACATGATTTCTTCTGTTGTCCTACGGGGCAGTCAATGAAATATTGACATCCTCTGGCTTCATGGTCTTAAACAAAACTAAACAAACACATTAAACAAAGAAAAAAATTAAAGAGAAATTAAAAATAATGGCAGAGAAGCCAACAAATCGAGGGAAGGAAGCTAGACCCAGTATGAAAATAAAGATTCAATCTTTCCACTCAAACAATCAGGCCATTGAAGAGATGCAAGGACAAACATACACCCAACAAAAGGAGGGAGAAGAACCCAATTCAGATTCCTAAAACAGAATTCAATTTCGACAGAGATGTAGAAAATAACGGGGGAAAAAAGACTATAAATATTAATCATCTATCTCTAACCTTTCGTCTACGGAGCTGCAACGGTTTCAAGATCAGCTATGGAATTAAAGACCCTTTTCTGTTAACTTCCGAAAAATAATCGATTTACTAAGAAGGATACACACTGGTTTCAGATCTGGAGTGAGAGAGATGTTTGCTTTGAGCTCTCCATGACGGCGGCGTGAATGGGCAGAAGTGAGAAGGGCTACGCGTTTCTCTTCATATAGTTAACCCGAATTGCCTAAACCCAGTATTGACCCGTCATGGAGACCCGCGAAGTTTTTTTTATTTAAACTAATAAGTCTGCTCCGAAAATTTGAAAAATACCTCCCACTTATTTTCTAAAAAGTCTGTTTCAGACCTACTTTTTTCAAAAATAATTTCAGAAAAGATCCTAAATTTGTTGGCCAAATGACTTTTTGATTCTAAACAGACTTTTTAGCTCTAAAAGACTTTTTAGAACTCTTGTCCAAATGGAGCCTTAGTCAATTGGCAAGTCAAGCATCAAAAGGTCTTCTGAAGATGAAAGTTGATGTATGCATATAAAATCAATAAAAAAATTGCCAAAAAGATGTTGTATCCTCAAGAAATCTTTCATAAAATTTTCTCAAGTTTAAAAAAAACCAAATATTCACTTTTAAATTCAAAATTCATTTTTCATAAACTTTCTTAAACAGCCACTCCTAGAGCCCTAGGATCTCGTGAAAAGTGTATTTTTAAATTAAAAGCGAATATCTAACTTTATTAGAGCTTGAAAAAAATTCGTAGAAGATTGATAAGAGTACAAATATTTTAACACTTTTTTTTGATTGATTTTATTTGCATACAAAATTTTTTAGTTACCAGAAGACCCTTTTAATGTTGTCTTACCGATCTAATGATTTTTTGATATTTGTTCAATTAATAAAGGTGTTTTTGATAATCAACTAAACCTAGAGAGTGTTTCTTATGTTAACTCTTTAGTCTTAACTCTTAACTAAGAAAGCAAAGAAAGAAAAAGTTGGCCCGCGCATGTTAGACCAGTCAGCGCACGATTGAGCTGTCAAACTGGCGGGAAATCTCAACAAACCCTCCATAACTTCCCGCCAAGCTTCCATTTCCTCACAAACGCCTCCAATCAATCTCTCCCTTTACAGATCCAAGAACCACAACAGAAAACCTCTAAATCAACTATCCAATTAGCTATCCTTCTGAATTTTCTTTATTTCTTTTGGGTCAACAGTAATTGCATTAATCGGCACCGGAGATGGAGAGCTACGGCGGCGGAGGTTACTTTGTTGACGAGAAAGCCGTCCGCGTCGAGAACATCTTCCTGGAGTTCCTCAAAAGGTTCTTTCTTTCTCCCGGAGATGTTTATTTCTGACAAAGTTTTGGTGGGGTTCATTTAATTAATTTGTTTTTGCCTTTTCAGTTTTCGGGCTGACGGAAATGCTCGGGAGCCGTTTTACGAGGCGGAGATTGAAGCAATGCGGCCGAACGAATCGAATACGATGTTTATCGACTTCTCTCACGTCATGCGCTACAATGATGTTCTCCAAAAGGCCATTTCTGATGAGTTTCTAAGGTAATTATTACTCTTTTGGTAATTTTTGGGGGAAAAGCACACATGTGACAGAATTGATTTGTGTTTGATAAAATGAAAACATAAGCACAATGTAAACCATGGTAGTGGATCCAAACTGTTGAAGCAAGTATGTGAATGCAGTGTTTCCCGAAATGTCATAAATTGTAATTGTATTCTGAAGATTGTAAACTAACGTTGGTTTTATTCCCAGAATTATGATTCTGTATCTTTTCTTATTTAGCATCTCATACTTTTGAAATTTGCAGGTTTGAGCCATACCTGAAGAATGCTTGCAAGAGATTTGTCATGGAACAGAAGCCAACGTTCGTGGCTGATGATAATCCAAACAAAGACATCAATGTGGCGTTCTATAACCTTCCCTTGATTAAAAGGTACTGGACTGGAACTGTGGTATGACATGCTGTATTCATTTGCATCCAGTAAATATTATATTGGCTAGATGACTGCTCTCAATAAAGCTTTGTATGATTTGCTCTGGCAATCGCAATTGCAGGTTAAGGGAATTGACGACATCAGAGGTAGGCAAGTTGGTTGCAGTGACTGGTGTGGTGACTCGGAGTGGTGAGGTCCGGCCTGAGCTCTTACAGGGCACTTTTAAGTGCTTAGATTGTGGGAATGTGGTAAAAAATGTTGAGCAGCAGTTTAAGTACACCGAGGTTTGTTGCTCATCTTATATGTATAGACTGAAGGATGTCAAACACGTATCTGCAACGTGTTTTACAGCAAAGCATGTGCATGGTTGGGCAGAATGTTCTTGAGCTTTGGCAGAATGTTCTTGTGCTTTGGTAGAATGTTATTGGCTTTTATTAGTGAGAGCTGTCGTCTGTCCATCTTGATATTGTACAATCCTGAATAGCACGAAAAGAAATTTTTACAGATATACTGCCTTACCCCTTTAAGTTGGGTCATTTTAGTATTACCTGGACTGCATGGACGTTCATTCTTTTCAATTTGTGATCATGCATTTTGCCCTTTACCTTGTTTATTAATTATATGACTTTTAATAAAACAAGCATGTTCCAGTTGTTTGGTAGAATCAAGTAATGGGCAGCTTGCAGTCCATTTCAAGCTGATGATAGCACAAGCATACATAACTTTTTTACAAATCCATACTACAGTACACTATCTGTGCATTTTAGCTTAACTCTGTCTGTTTTTAATTTGCAGCCGATTATCTGTGTAAATGCAACCTGCCAAAACAGAACAAAATGGGCATTGCTTAGGCAAGATAGCAAATTTGCCGATTGGCAGAGAGTTCGGATGCAGGAAACCTCCCAAGAGATACCAGCAGGGTCCCTTCCAAGATCTCTCGATGTGATCTTACGCCATGATATCGTAGAACAAGCCAGAGCTGGTGATACGTAAGTTCCTCACAGTATGAAACGAAAGACTGGTCTTCTGATCTTTTTCTTGTTAAAAAGAGTTTCCTTTTTCTCTACCATTTGAAAAATCATTTATTCTCATTCCAAATTCAATGTTAAGATTTGAGCTCCCTCCAAGATACTTTTCATACTATTATTTTAAAGATTTTTCATCTATTAGTCTTTTTTTCCCTCAAAGTAAAGTTTGCTAAATTATATTCCTTCCAGAACTTCTTTCCTTTCCAAGAAAGTTTACAACAATATGAACCTAATAACATAGAGCCTTGATTGATTTAAGTTTTTTTTCCCCTCTCATTGCAGGGTTGTGTTTACTGGCACCGTAGTCGTTATACCTGACATACTAGCACTAGCTTCCCCAGGAGAGAGATCTGAATGCCGAAGAGAAGCACCCCAGCGAAAGGGTGCCGCTGCTGGTCAGGAAGGTGTTAAGGGCCTTCGAGCATTGGGTGTCAGAGACCTATCCTATCGCCTTGCCTTCATAGCCAATTCCGTACAGGTTAGTCATCCCTCCTGATTTAAATTTGTCCTCATCTGGATGCATGCTCAAATGCTCCAATTCTTCTTACAATTACTTGACTAATCTCTGATTTGCTTAGATATGTGATGGAAGAAGAGACAATGACATTAGAAATAAAAGAGATTCTGATGAAGATGATAATCTGCAATTTACTGTAAGTTTATTTTTCATTTTGGTACTTCCAGTTACTAAACAAAAGTATTACATGAACTGCAATCTGTGACATAAATTGCTTTTTGCTCTCTCCATTGTTTATCATACATCTTTTGAAGCAACAACATGAAACTTCCACATACTTTTTTGGTTAATTATGGTCTAATGTAGATATAGTCTGATGACTGATGAGTATGTCAGCTCATCGCTGCTCTCAAATGCTTTTCTGGATTTTGATGACAAATTGTATTTTGTGCATTTTTTTCTACTTGATCCTCTCTAGATGTATAGTTTTTCTTAGGGATATATGCTATTGTCTGTAGTAGATGTATCTCTGAGGGGCACTTGGTGCAGCGGTAAGAGTTGTTGCCGCATGACCTGAGAACTTAGCGTTAATGACCCAATCCTTTCTTCAATCCTGCATATGCAGAAAACTTCCATGCACTTTGGCTTCCCTTGTGTATATATGCAATTCACTTTGCCTCTGAACTTCTGTTATTTTTTCTCTTCAATAATCCTGCCATGTTGTGGTTTATCTTGATTTTAATAGGAGGAAGAGCTAGATGAGATCCAACAAATGAGAAATACTCCCGACTTCTTTAAGAAGCTAGTTGACAGCATTGCCCCAACTGTTTATGGCCACCGAGATATCAAAAGAGCAATCCTCCTTATGCTTTTGGGTGGTGTCCACAAGTTTACTCATGAAGGAATCAATCTTAGGGGAGACATTAACGTTTGTATCGTGGGGGATCCCAGCTGTGCAAAATCCCAGTTCCTCAAGTATTCTTATGACTTCTTCTTGTTTAATTTAGGGCACATTCGTGGTACTGACCTCAGGCTGCTAATGCTCATATTTCTTGTGTTTTGAAGGTATACTACTGGTCTAGTTCCGAGATCTGTCTATACTTCTGGGAAATCCTCTTCAGCTGCTGGTTTGACTGCAACAGTAGCCAAAGAACCTGAGACTGGTGAATTTTGTATTGAGGTATCTCTTAGACAGCAGAACCTTCAGGCACATTTGAAGTTTAAGTGAAATACATGTCATTAGCACTAGTTCCGAGATTTGTCAGGGTTGCTCCTACAATTGATGCAAGAAACACACGTATCTCCTACTGCATGTGGAAAATAAAGTTATTGTTTTTCCTAGCTTATGTGAGCCATGACAATAACACTTATTCACGATAGAAAAGAGTAGCCAAGTAACAAGCACCAGAAGCTTTCTTGGATTTCATTGTATTTGTAGTTGTTGTAGGCTATAAATGGCTTCTCACCTCTTTTGCAGCTACAGTGCAAATAAAATGCACTGGTGCTCTATTATTCATACTGAAGATAGGTCACATTTTATTTAGTGTCTATCATGCCAGTTAGTTTCACACAACGTAGGTGGTTTCAGTCCTATCTGCTTCTCTGACTATAGTATCAAAAGAAGCTACTTACTTTTAGGGACGACAGTTTTTTGTGATTCTTTAATGTACTGTTTGTGTGCTGTGGTTGACCTCTTATTCAGATATTTTTCTTTTAATCTGTGTGGTAATTTTGTTTGATCTCCTTCAGGCTGGTGCGTTGATGCTTGCAGACAATGGCATCTGTTGCATTGATGAATTTGACAAGATGGATATAAGAGATCAGGTATTGAGAATTTATCATTTTCTGGAACTTTTACTTCTTTCATCCAGCCCTATTGTTCTGTAGCTGATGCTATTTGGTGAAATTATGCAGGTTGCTATCCACGAAGCAATGGAACAACAAACAATAAGCATAACAAAAGCAGGAATACAGGCAACGTTGAATGCTCGAACATCAATATTGGCTGCAGCCAATCCCACTGGTGGACGTTATGACAAGTCCAAACCACTGAAGGTGGGAATGCCCGTTCTCTAAAATTCTCAAAAATAGAAGTGATATCTGAATCTACTGTGCGATTTGTAATGCTTGGTGTTTTCATTTTTCTGCAGTATAACGTGGCCCTTCCTCCTGCTATTCTTTCAAGGTTTGATTTGGTGTATGTTATGATCGATGACCCAGATGATCAAACAGATCATCTCATTGCTAATCATATTGTGAGGGTGCATCAAAAGCGGGATGATGCTCTCGCTACTGCATTTACAACTGCACAAGTTAAGCGCTACATTGCATATGCTAAGACTCTAAAACCAAAGGTTATATACGAAACTAATCTCAATCATATTGTATGTGCTTGAATATTTCTCGTTTTGATGGAATTCGATGTCATGCAGCTGACTGCAGAAGCTAGACAACTTCTGGTCGAATCCTACGTCTCTCTGCGTACAGGCGATACAGCTCCAGGAAGTAGAGTGGCTTATCGAATGACAGTCAGACAGCTTGAGGCATTGATTAGGCTTTCAGAGGCAATTGCTCGAAGTCATCTGGACACTCAGGTGCATCATCTTTTGTTTAACGAAAGTTTCGAATCCACATTTATGTTGTTTGGCCTTCGGCGAACTAATGCTGGTAATTGTCACTAGGTGCGTCCCCAATATGTCCCCGCTGCTGTGGATCTGTTGAAAAAATCAGTGATCAGGCAAGTATCTGTTGTTTGTAGAGTGGATCTTGGTGGACCAACCAATAAAGACAAGTAAATTTGATGACTTTGAATACTGATATACCTTGCAGTGTTGAATCTAGCGAGATTGATTTATCTGATTTCCAAGAAGAAAATCGGGATGATGCTGATGGTGGTGATCCCATGGTTCAAGATGAAACCAATGCCAATGGAGCATCTACTGAACCAGTTCCGACAAATGCAGGTTGGTCTACTGCTGTTTTCATTTTTTTTCATAAAAAACCTGTCTTTTGAATGAGTTGTCATTTTAAGTATCAATATGATTGTGCAGGAACAGGAGACGAACCTGCAAACAAACAAGCAAAGAAACTTGTCATGACTGATGAGTATTTTCAAAGAGTTACCCGGGCCCTTGTAATGCGTCTCAGGCAGCATGAGGAGACCGTGTTGGAACAAGGTGAAGTCTTGCTTCTTGTTAACTTCAGTACTTAGATTCCATGCAAAAACACTGGTGATTTTCACGGTTGCAAAAGTTTTTGAAGGAAGATTTTATGCAGCTGAATATTTGTACCCAAAAGCAAGAAAGTCCCTGGAAACTGGAAAATGAGCAAGCAAAACATCTTTATATTATTTTTGTTGAGACTACGTAAATCAATTTGTTTTGTTACATTGGTAGGTACTGGCTTGGCTGGAATGAGGCAAAGGGATCTTATACAATGGTATGTGGGACAACAGAATGAAAAGAACAGTTACAGTTCCATGGAAGAGGCAGCAGCTGAAGTAACAAAACTGAAAGCAATTATAGAAGTAAGATTTCAATAAGATAGGTTCTAGATCTCCATCAAGAGTTATTACTTTTTTTTTTTTTTTAATCTAGCTTAACATGGTATATCCTAAATGTACTTTTCTAACTGTAATTATACACGAACTCTGTTGATGCAGAGTTTGATTAGGAGGGAAGGATATCTGATAGTTGTGGACGATGGTGTTCAAGGAGCGGAAGAGAATGAAAACGCGGGGCAGTCAGCTCCCGTGTCAAGAAATGATAGAATTTTAGCAGTGGCACCTAACTACGTAATTGATTGATCATGTATGATCAGTGCAATGCATATTTCCGGGTACAATGGATATGATGAGCGAAGACGATATAGTTGGTGTAAGTTGACCCAAATATTTAACGTACAATCAACCTGCAACAGAAAGCGTAAATCCTGCTTATATGGTATGATCTACCCATGGATGCGCTTAGAACCAGAGTAACTGGGAATTCAATAGGATGATATGTGTGTGGAATCAGTATCCATTGTAGGCGGTTGTAATGCCAAATTCACTGTAGGCGGTTGCAACGTCTGTCTATAGAAGCTTGGAGTTGCTTGAGCTCTAATCAAGTACTATTGGAGATTCTAGATAATGAATTTGTACTGAGCTTCTCAGTGAATTATGATTAGTTAGGTATTTAAAAATTGTCTTCTAAAATGAATCTTGAATGTACACATTTTTGCTTGATGCTGTCCCTCTTCCACAATATATAATGGAAGAAGAGAAGCTGAGTACTTACATTTAACCCCTTCTATTTGCACAATAGCCTAATCTATCACGCCACTAAATATCTTCGTCTCTGTTCGAAGATCAAATCCTCAGTTCAAACTGTAATTTTGCCTTTTTTTTGTTTGCTATTTCTCGTCTATAAGACAAACTATTGATATATATACAATTATATTGTTGGTGGATTCAATTGTACTATAAGCATTTGCATAATGTAACAGATTGCAAGAAACGATTACTAATCAGTGTTATAATGTAAGCTCTAGTAGTAATTAACTATGTGGCTCAAGCTGAATGTTGAAATTTTCAGTCAACTATAATACCGTTTTTTTTTCCCCCTTAAAAAAGAGAGGATGAAGGGTCGTAAATATTAGTAGTATATGGATACGGCTAAATGTTAATCGCCTGAACCTGGTCGGATTTCATTGGCACATTAGTTGGTTGTCAATCAAAGGTGAAAGACTGAAATTGAAAATCAGTTTCATCTTCCAATATTAAGACAAAAAAAAAGAAAAAAAAAAAGAAAAAGAGACCAGTGTCCATATAAAATCTCTGTCCTTTTCACTGAGTTCCACCCTCAAACGCCAACTGCGTCATCATTTGGATAATTATTCCCAAGTTACATAAGGTTTGGCTGGCTGACCAAAATACCGAGGTAGTCAGTTTTGACATTGTTTTAATAAGGATTGTCTCCCCAAATGCAAAATGCTGAGCTCCCCTTCGTTCCTTTTTATAAAGTATAAATTGAAATTAAATAGTGTAGTACTGTTTAATTTAAACTCATGAAAAGATAGAATCCGATGGAGGAATATAAATTTAGGTGACCAATTTATCTAAGAGGAAAACGTAAATCTAATACTTTCTTTTCTTTTTTTCTTTTTTTTTCCCAAACACAAGCGATGATTATTTATGAGAATTGTAATTTTACAGTCAAACTAAATCGACAATCAACAGTCAATTCTACAAGCGTCTCAACCCACGAAAGCTGATCATCTTCCCAATCATGGTATTACAACAAGACAGAACTCAATTGGCTGGACTATTACTAGAATAATTATCATTCCAATGATTTCTAATAAACCAAAATTAAATTCATCAAATAAAATAAAATAAAATAAAAAACAGATTCCGTCCACTATTGCCATTACCTCATTCATTAATGACACTTTTCTTTGGAGGCATCCAATACTAATCTCTTCATCAATTTGTATTTCCACTCTTTTCCCACCTTTCTATTGGAGATTAAACATTATCACCCTGATCGCTTCCATCTCCACTGACATTACACGTTGGGATGAGTTTCAATAGACTGCAATCTCACTGATCCCACATTAATTCTATCTAACTCTTTCAATGAAATGTGAAATTCCTGGAATTTGCAGGTTTCATGCATTCTCAGAAAGAGTACTGCCCCAATCCCACCTACGTGGTGGTACGGTGGTCACCCTGTCGGATTTTCTCTTCTTAAATCATTAAAAGTTTATCTATAGAATAGGATTATAGGAACATTGAATATGCCTTTTCTTTTTCTTTTTCTTTTTTCTTTTTCCAAGAAACAAGTCTTCAAGATTTTAACTTTAAAAAAAAAAAATCCAATTTTTACATTTATACTGTGTATACATCAAAAAAAAAAAGAAAAAAAAAAACAAAAACGCTGAGATAGTTTCCAGACCGAGTTATCAATGATTTAATCATGTTTTACTTCATCAAACATGATTTTTATTTATTTTAAAACGGAATAATAAGTATCGATAAAAAGTAAGAATCAATTAAACAGCTTAATCTTCAAAAGTTGAACCAATCCGCTCTCAAATGATTCTGACCTTTTGACACATGAGAATCATTGGAGTCCTATTTATGGCTTTTTTTAAAATAAAATAAAATAAAATAAAATAAATAAAACATGAAAAATTATGACTTTATGATAGTACATAGAAATCTTTATTTTATCGGACTTCACGTAATGATGAGAATATTTTTAGTAGTCCTATACATTTTTTTCCCCCAAATTTTGGATAACTTAGATAAAGGCAATTTATTTCAAGTCGCGTCTTCCAACTTCCCCAACCACCCAATTTCATGCATTGAAATTAAGTACACCCAACAAAAAATCTTTCATCCTTCCTATCATATCATGAAGATAGTAACTAAACTGGGTACAAATATGACAAGTTAACAAATACAATTCCATATATTATATATACTTAATTTAAGTCTCGCAGCATAAAAAAAAAAGAATTCTGTAGTAACAATCAACTGAATGGTCAAATGTCAGTGATTCAATAGGGTGCGATGATTTCTACGCGAATGAAAATACTGACTTAAACCATAAAAAAATCACGATATTACTAAAGTTTTTCCTCACAAAAAGGGTTATTAATTAATCCATTAATTTCTTATCATTTCCACATGTTCTATATTCTCTTTATACATGGTGGCCTTAAACATATTGAGGGATACAAAATAACTATAACAAAATTCAATCAACTAAGCAAATAGAAGTAAGTTGTTGTCAACCACTAATCTGACAGAAATCAAATATTCCCTGAATCTTTTAATTTAAATATTTTTCAAGATTAAAATTATTACATATACTTTCTTCAAACCCCACAGAAATAACAAATCCATGTTCCTTGTCTCTTCAATTTGTGTTTGGCAACATTTGGAATTATTATGAGCCCATGTGCTGAGCTGAGAGGCGACTCTCCTAGGCTCTTACAATACAACCAGATTCATCCTGTTTCAAATTTGAAGTATTTTGAACCAGCATTCAACTCTAATCATATGTAATTAAAGCTCAGGTTGCTCATAATCATTTTCGCCCCAGTCTTGGAATAATTTTCATGTTTCTGTTCATAAACTCAACTTGGCACAGTGATGGAGTTAGGAATTTCACGAATGGGGTGTGTGATTTTCAAACGTTACTATATCTTTACTTAATAATAAAAAAAAAAGAGACGGAGGGAGTACAGTCGTACTTGTCTTTCTTTTGGTTCCGTCACTGATTGAATATGTATTTAAAACGATAATCTAATATAGCTATACTTGCTTTCATGATATATAATCATCATTAAATCAATTTTGATCAATATTGTACGATAAAATAGAGAAATTAATTGTTTTTATGTGGTTAGAGGGTTATAGGTATATTTGATTCCTTTCTTGCTAGGATTGGAATGTGATGCTAGCAAGTTAGAGTGGGTCTAAATTATGGCTTTGTATGAAACATCTATAATTGAATTCAACCCTATCACAACTAATGAAATCATCAATATGAATATTTGTTGGATGTGATAATTATATTAGTACTCCAAATTATTGGTGGAATGAATCAACTTTTTGATCGAAGAAATGACGTACACAAGGAATCTAAGATTAGCTTTGATCAACTTCCTATGTCCTATAGCATTCAACAGGGAAAATGACCTTTTTGGTCCCTTTTGTTTTGATAGTTGATATTGTGATGCCGTTTCTTCTTCTTCTTATTTTTTTTTCTTTCAAACTATGGTGACAGTTGGAAGAGTATTGGTATTTTCCCAAAATGCTCAAATAGTTTGCAATTTAACACACATATTTTCAAGGTACCCACGGTTATCAAAAGTTATTAACCTCTAAACTGAATCGTGAATACTTTGAAGAATGAATGTAAAGACTGTCGTTTTATTTTTTTCTCATATCCTTTTGTATGTTATTGGAAAGTACGTTTCAATAAATTCTTTTATAATTTTTTCAAAAGAAATTAAAAGAATAAAAACTTAGAAAAATTGAAAAAAACAAAAAGGTAAACGAACAAGAAAAAAATAGTACATTTGCATAAGGAAAGAAGAACAAAAAGAGGAAAATTGGGATAAAGAATTTCAAAGAGGTAATAAAAAAAGGGATCGATTTTGCCACATTTTGGAATTTAGAGATAGAAAATGGTATCCTTCAATACAAATGGGAGGATATAAAAACAATCTTGGTTCAAAAAAAAAATGAACTAAAAATGCAATTTTTTTCCCCCCTTATTAAAAACTAAAAAAGAGAAAAGAATTTATGCATTAATGTTGGTAGTACACCCCATCACGTATTATTATCCCCCACACACCCAAAAACACCCGCCAACCCACAAACACTGTGATGGCAATCTCGTAATTTGGAAGGAAACGAGAGGGCAAATCAAGAACCGGGAGTCCCTGACGGCGTGATTGGAGAACCAGCGAAGCCACGTGAGAAGTTGTGTTGGTCAAGAGAGAAAGAAAACCATTTGTTACAGATCACCATCAAGCTGTGATCGGGCCCCACCCTTGATATTGCCACCTTTGAATGAACTAGTTCGCCAGCTGTCACCACCCTAGTGAATTTCCAGTTCTGTCCCCGAAAGCTCGCCAGTTTTGCCAGCCCCCTCGTGAAATCATTGCAACCGCTTTGCCCCCAATTCCATCCACTCCCCAGACAACCTAACTTGTGGTGTAAGTAGTGTCAAGTGTGGCTGTATCGTCCTACGAGGCTCGAAATGACAATTTTGTCCTCACAATGATTTATACCGATCACTCACTCAAAACTCAATCGAATTCGGTTTGGTTCCGTTTGATTGGTTTGGTTGGATACTAGTGATTATTATTATTATTGATCACTACGTGAATTTTTGGACATTTTCATAATGGGACTAATACTGTAAGGGAAGTGTTGCATTATACGTATCCGCTATAATCTAGCGATCCCATGCCATATTATTTTGTTTTATCATAATACTAGTGATGTCTGGTCGTGCAATGCGCGACCCTAGCCCAGTCTATCTGTAGATCTTAGAAATGTTTATATTTGAAAAAAAAAAAAATTTATATTTGGGGCGATATATTTTAGAAATGTTTGAAAAATTTAGAAATATTTTATAAGTTTGATCATAGAAATATTTGTATTTCCCAAAAAAAAAAAGAAATTGTATTTCGCCATGTATGTTTTAGAAATGTTTTATAAGTGTTACTTATTAAATATAAATAGACTTAATCGAATATATGTGTAGAAGTAAATGTTAGACAAAATATAAAAGTATCCTAATAAGTTTAAATATTAGTAAGATAATTTATTGATGTTCTCCATTGGTCGTGCTAAATCAATACTTAGTTTTGGAGATTTTTAATAGCTTTGTAATAAGCTTCATCCGAAGGGTATACGCTTAAAATAAAATTGACATTTTGTAACAAATACCTGATTGATCAATTCAATTTAGACTCCATAATTAAGAAAATAAAACTATTCTAATTGAATGAAACATAAAGAAAAATTTAAAAAGAAACGTGTCACATAAAGTGTAAAGGGGAATTTAGTAATTTAGTTATGGTTAGACAAAAAGACAATTTAGTACTTTCTTCATGTCACGTGGTAATCGTGTTTGAAAAGGGGGTTTTTATTTCTAATATAGTAGCATATTGTAAGAAAACATATCAATTTATTTTATATCGTTATTGTCCTACCTTGTGATTCATAATATATAAACGTAAATCTTAACGAAATTACTATCATTCATGAAGGACTAACTGGGACTTCTTTTTGTCTAGTTCTTTCCAAAGAAATTAATACAATTTTAAAACCAATTGTATTTCATTATAAACTAGAAACTTCTTCAAAAATCAACAACTTTGTGGCAGTGATGGCTCAACATCTTTCGGGGCCTAAAGCGAGTTTCAAATTGAGGCATTTTTTGTATTTTCAGGAGTCTAAAATAATTACCTAAAACTTTTATATTTACTGGAGAAGGTAAAAATTAGAAGAGTTTTATTCATACATCTCTCATAAGTGAGAAATATTAACTATACAATAAACTAATCATAATTTAATATAATTATTAGATCACTATTTTACTAATTTTGTTATTAATAAATTAATAAAATAATCAGACTATAATGTGAAAAATCTACGGCTAGTTACAAGGGTAACTTTAAAAACAATTAGGGATTGAAAGAGATTGCCATGAAATATTTTGGAAAAAAAAATTGACAATGGATATATGTATTGATTCTTTTGTTAAACATTTATTGATCTTATGAAAATCAATCATAAGAATACGACTTTAATTTTATACATTCTTATTATAAAAAGAAAATAAGGCTTGAACAAATAAGATTAAAGGAGTGATAAAATTAATTATTTATGATTATTGATTTATTTTACAAAAACAAAAAAAAAACTAAGTAAAAAAATTTAAATTTGGAGGCCTTGGGCAAAGCGGGCTTAAAGCCTTTGCTTCACTGGCTTTGCCCTTGAGCCGGCACTGCTTCGTGGACACCTACTAAAAACCATGAAAAGGATTCCAAGACCGATGCAAACCATTGTTGTGTCGGTTCGACCGCTGGAATCCGTTGGGAGCGTATTTTGGCATATGAACCGACACACCTATGCAGGGGGGCAGTTTCGGTCATAAAAATTGTGGGACTAAGAAGATATTAAAAAAAAACAATTGGCTGGTCACGAATGAATCCCTCAAATGTACAAGTAACATAAATCCAACTCAAAGGGGCAAAATATATATTATTTATTTATTATATATGAAACATTAAATTTGTACTAATAAAAAAATAAAGGTGTAGGTTGCTGACACGCATAACTCCTCCTCCAAATCAAATTAAAACCCACCCCTTTTTTTGATTTTGGAATCACAGTTTGGTTACAATTCCACAAGCAGTTCCTCTTTTCCTTTGAAGTCGACTTGGATACGTATAGTTTTTGATTAAGTGAGAGAGACAGAGATATATAAGAAGAAGAATAGAGAAAAACCACCAAAAGAGCAGCAGGCTTTATTTCCAGACACAGGAAGGAGAAAGAAAGAAAGATTCATGTAAGTAGTATTCGACGGACGACACAGATTCTTATTATTTCTTCTTTAGAGCAAAAATATTGAAGGTTTTGTAACTTGTTTAAAGGTTTCATTGTTATTGTGGGTAAAGATTCTTTATGGGATTTCTTGTCTTCCTCTTTACCGTCACTTTCATGCATAGTTGTACTAGTTTTGGCTCGTATTGATGATCCATATAAGTGTACAAAATATAGTTTTTATGATGATGATGATGCTTTTTTTATTTTTTTATTTTTTTTTATATTTGTGATGTGATGATGATGATCGTGTAAGAAGATTCTTGTTCTGTTTTTGTTTTGTAGATTTTACTCTTTTTTTTTCTCACCCGAGAATTATATGACGATGAATATCTGGAAAGAAAAAGTGCTTCCCAAAATCAAGAAGGTTTTTGAGAAAAGCCCAGGCAAGAAGGCTCTTGCTGCTGAAGCCGTCAAAGCCTTCGATGAAGTTAAGGTAACACTTAATTTTTTTATTTTTTTTTTATAATTTTCTTGGTTGTTTTTGTATTTTTTGAACAGGGTTCTTTTTGTTGTAAACTTTAGTGATGATTTTTTTTTGGTTACATGATTTAATTCAATTCAGGACCAACACGCCACTGAGTTTGAAGAGAAGAAAGGTGATCTTCAATCTAAAGTTGTTGAAATCTATGAAGCTTCACCCCCTGAAGTCAAGGTCAGTATAATTACTGAATTTTTTTTTTTTATATTTCCATCAAAAATATGTTTTCAACAAGTTAATTATAATTTTTGAACTTGATGAAAGACAGGCTTTGGTAAAAGACCCTAAGCCTACTGGCCTAAAGAAAAACTCTGCTGCTGTCCAGAAGTTCTTGGATGAACTTGTCAAGATTGGTACGCCGTTTTTTTCCTTAATTTTTCGTATCTATAAATTCGGACTCGTGATTTACTGAAAATTAAAAAAAAAATGTGACTATTACGTTGCACCTAATTTATACTAATAATTGAACTACTTGAATTTTTTTTTTTCTTTTTAAAGCTAATTGTTCTTTTTCCTTGATATTACAGATTTCCCGGGATCAAAGGCCGTGGCAGAGGCAGCAACAAAGTTGGGACCGGCATATGTTCCGGGTCCAATCACCTTCTTGTTTGAAAAGGTGGCTACCCTTTTGCCGGAAGAGGTGAAGGAAGAGGCCCCTCCGGTAACTGAAGAAGCGGCCACCACCACCACCGAGGAGCCGGCGGCAGCACCAGCAGAGTCAAGTGCTACTACCGCAACCGAAGAGGTGAAGGAGAAGGAGATTGTAGTTGAAGCAGCAGAGAAGAAAGAGGAAGAGGCTGCTGCACCGGCCGCCGAGGCACCACCGGCTGAAAAGCCGGCGGAAGCAGAAGCTCTGGCAGCCACGGAGGAAGTGAAGAAGGAAGAGCCGGCTGCTGCTACGGCCGAGCCACCAAAGGCTACTTGAATTTCTTGATGATTGGGCTAATGATGAGTGGTAATTATTGTCATTTATCGAGGTGCCAAAAAACAGTTTGGATTAAGTTGGAGACCTTTGTGCAAAAATTAATTTCTTTTTCCTTTTTTATTTTTATTTTGATTAATATGTGAATTTGTAAGGAAAAACAACACCACATTGATTTGTTATTCTTTGTTCCTTCTTCCTCTTTTCTCCTATTCTCATCGTCCCCCATTGTAATTTTTTCTCCATGGAATTCTTAATTCTATGTATTATTCGTTTTGTGAATTACTTTGTTAATACTCTTTAGCCTTCTTTATCTTTAATATCAAAAAAAGCATTCTACAAAGGCTCCAATAATTATTGTAGTTTAAAAATTGTAATCCAATAGCTTGGGCCATTATTATTATTATTTTAACTCTTCTTCCCGTTCTTCGTTGTGAGGTGATATCTTATTTTCCTACTGCCAATTCTTGTTGATCATTTAATATTACATACGCGCGACCAACCGGTATTTAACTAATTGCTCAAGAAAAACCGGTGGTTTCTCGCCCACTGATTATTAGTATCGGTTGGAAACTTGGCACAGAAGTTGTATGGTATTATGTTGTGGAGTACACGATTGATTCCTTGAGCAACAAATTACAAGAAGCTGGCAAAAGTTAAACATTGTTTGGATGGTTGTTACTTTGCACTTAATTGGGTAGAGTGTGCTTCAAGTGTTAGACACTATAACTTTTAATAAACTTATATACTTTTCATCGTCTTAGAAAAATACGATAATCTCTAAAATTTATACAAGAGATTAATACGTTGTGACAAAATATTTGTTATCATATCTGTTTTAGTTTACTAATAACTTGTTAATAATAATACACTTTGTTAGTTAAAAAAACAATAATAAATTAGTAGATTGTTAAAAAAAAATGCTGGGGATGAAGTCATAAATTATACTGCCATGCCCCCATACCAATCTTCATCTGGTTTGGCAATATATGGTTTCGTATCGGTACCATAGTCCATATCAATTTATTCATAATCTCTGACCAAATCGCATGGGATTGCAAAATGAACTTCATAAGTCATAACACTCAGCTCAGGTTCAGACAGGCTTAATTTGTAACCAAAATTTCAATTGGTTAAGAAATTCGGGCAGACAGATTCCGCAAGATTTTGATAAAACAATAAATTAAATCGGATTGATCAACTTTTTTTTTTTGTTTTTTATAGGTAGAGATAATGATAATCTTAAACGGGCACATATTATTTATGGTCATAAGGAGATTGAAACTTTTTCTTAGAGCAAATGATGGATAAACTTTTGAGTATGCAGATGGAGAAATTTTTGGTATACAAGTAACTAGTTTATAAATACTTCAAGGGATATGATCTAATGCATCAATCACCATGAAATCATGATGTGTATTGTTAATATTTGACTAACATTAATGTATATGCGTTTCTTTTCTTTTCTCTTTTAATTTTCCATTTTTCATTTCCACAATTCTCACCTAACCTCTCATACATATGAATCTCTTAATTTACTATACAAGTTCAGGTTTAGAGTAGAGTCCCAACGATTTGAGTCTTGTTTTTGCTATCAATAATTAATGACAACTAGGCGAAATTATGACTTTACGAGTTGTAGTTTAATGATCTTTACAGCATAATATGACAAGCCAAAAATATCTTTTACTGACGATAAGAAAGCGAAAGAGGGAGAGTGAATGGAGAAAAGTATAGAAATTAGACAAGTAAAAGAATGGGAAAGAAAAACTACAAGGAAGAAAGATACGAAGGTGAAGGTAGTACGTTCACTCCTTGAGGGATTTTTTTTTTTTTTTTTTTTAAATACATAGTCTAAAACTATTTACTCTAAAAATTTTTTGACAAGTGATTGAAGAAGGGGGTAAAAAAGGAAAACTGACATGAATGGTGAAGCGGTGAAGGAACAATAGTTGAAGAAAAACAATATATAATATAAAAAAAACATAATTTTGAGTTTTATTTATTTATTTTTTTGGGCGGGGGTTGTTAATTGAAACTATTTTTTCTGGTATATCATACGGGGTAAATTTAAAAATTCAGCAGCGCATAAAAAACACCTGTAGTATATCATGTTTTATTTATGAAGATTGAATCAGTGAACAGTATCCTACAAGTTTTACTACTATCAAAGAAGTAAAATAGTCGAATAAGATATTCACCTCAGGTAATAATATACATGTCGCAATGTAAATGATTTGATTATTATCAGAAAAAGTTGATGAATTGTTACCACATTACGCATCTCTCTTGCTTGGACCGTTCTCCTGGAATTAGTCTCCAAAAGCCCATCAGTTTTGTTTAAGATATACTATGTTGGGCTTCTTCCAAATATCCATGCCTTCAAAATTCTTACGCCACCACTCTCTTCTTTTTCTTTTTTTTTTTTTTGTGAAAAAATCTTACATAATTCTTAGTATTATACTCCCTCCGTCCCATAATTATTGTCCACTTTGCCTAAAAAATTTTGTCCTAAAATTATTGTCCAATTTGACTTTTTATGGATCAAGTTTCACATTTGTCCTTAGTAAAAAACATTATCCATAAAATCTTAGTGGTTAAACAATTACTTATGTAGGGGTATATCTGGTTGTTTAAGGTAAAATATAGTTAAATTTGACCAAAAATAAAATCTTTTATTTTGGTAAAACTAGACAATAATTATGGGACAGAGGGAGTATTAATAATGAAAACAGGTACTTTTGATTTACAATAAATAATAAAAAAATGGAAATCTGATTGTCTTCCTCAGTATATGTCAAATGAAAATAAAAAATCTTTTTTTTCTGGTCTAAATAGAAAAATAAAAATTATAATTGGTCATAAATGGGGTTTCGGAACTGCAATGCTTATTGTAGATGTAATAGGTTGGACGTCTGTACTCTACTTTTACAACGTAAAAGAAATATTACCTCCGTCCCAAAAAAAAATTTATTGAGTTTCTAAATTTGTACTAAAAATAGTACAAAACTCAAAGCTTAATGTGAATTATTTTGGTGGGACGGAGATAGTAGTAGATTTCAAAATTGCCGGCAACAACGATGGACAAAAGTTGGAGCACCCGAATCTACCAAATGAGATATACCAGAGTCCAGATTAATTGGTATATTACACGAGGGGTAATAAAAAAAAAATCACACAGAAGAAAATAAATAAGAGAAGTTAACGATTATATTGATGCTTTAATATAAATATTTAGTTTTTTTTTTTGAAAAAAAACAAAAATTTCTCAAAAAATTGGCCTTTTCTACTAAAAATAAGTTAAGCTTTCAAATTAATGGTCCGGCATATCTCTCACCTGTCAAAAATGTAAAGTAAGGTAATTTTCTTAGACTTCTATATAAGGAGGTTTTACCTTTTGTGCTTCGTTTTATTTTAAATCTATGATCTTCTGAATTATTATTCCTACTTTGATTTGATGAACCTATGAAGAAGATGAATAGTAATGTAGTTCACTTGTACATAAATATATGAAAATTCCAAACAGAGTTCAAGTCCGAACTCAACTTCAACTTTCATTAAGATGATGTGATTGCATATCATCTTTTTTCCTACTTTAACACAGGATTATAGCTGTAACTTGATTGCATTTTTTGCTAATCATATAAAAAAAATATATGTAGATCAACTAAACAACACTTATGACCTTCATTGCAAATTTTAGAACCCTTCTACCCAAACCACACCTATGGGTGACTTTACATGATGTTTTCCATCAGACCAAGTTATCTTTCCCCATTCAGTCACTGGACTTCCAGGCCTGACCTCTAACTTTTGCGCTCTGATCCTGACCTGGAAACTCTGTTTTTGACCCTTTGCACTAAAATCCAGCCTGGCTGGATTCACAGTAACATTTGCGCCTTTGGGATTTACTGCACTCACATTGTAGCTGGATTTACCTTCAACAACATTAGTCACTGTTCTAACCACCGTGAGATCAAATCCTGGTGATGATGAATTTGCCAGAAACTCAGTATAAAGCACTACGATTGCCGGGTAGTTGATGTCCCAACGTTTGGTTTGATTCTTCTTATTGCACTTTGATGGCCTTCGGGTGATTTCTCGGATTGCTGTAGGTGTATAGTTAGATGCACATAGGAAGTTTATGTAATCTTCGGGCGTGAGATCGTACACCAAACCAGGATCAAGTGCTTTTTCCGGGTTCACATGCCCGGCGCCCGTGTCCCAAACGTTTGATTCCCGATAAGATTTCTCATCTAACAGTGCTTTACCGTCCAGGTCGTGAGTGTACGCCGTCGTCATCAAGGCCGAACGGATCATCGCCGGCGACCAATCCGGATGGGCGCCTTTCAGGAGAGCCGCTATCCCGGATACATGTGGACATGACATTGAAGTTCCTGAAGCTATGTTGAATTCTGTTCGTCGGGAATCGGAAGGTTGCTCGGTCGGCGACACGTTTTCCGGCCAGGCTGCCAAGATGTTCACTCCGGGCGCTATGATGTCCGGCTTTAAGATATAGGTCGACTCCTCATTGGGTCCTCTGGATGAGAAGGAAGCCACAACCGGGGCGGGTTTGACACCGACTTCAGTTCCTTGGAAAACCATTTTGGCTTTGGCATTCGGGTTTGATTTGGTGTATGCTCGGAGTTTATCACCATCAGTTTCACCCAAATTAAGACCTGGAATTAGATGGGCATCGGCAACCAAGCCTTCTCCGACCGGCGCAACGTTGGCGACGACCACCCCGACTCCGCCGGCCAACCGGACAACTTCTCCTTTAGCCACCCTCGGAGATCCGCCCCGGTCGCAAACCACGATTTTTCCCTTAACCTTCTCTTCATCCAGTGACCCTGCACCACAAGTGGCCGCGGAAAAGCTAGGAAATGGAAATGACCCACCAGCTTGCCCGTGGCTTAAATCTTTAGTGGCATTAGCTGCGTGAATTAATGGCAAAAAATCCTTCGAGATTGCTCCGGGACTTGGCCGGAAGATTGAAGCGCCTTTCAAAATTTGACCGTCTTCCAGAACCAAGTTAGCCGGGAACTTGCGGTCAATTGTACTAGCGCCGACGCTAGTAATCCACGGAGCCACGTTGGTGACCGTGAAACTGGTCGGGCCTTCGTTTCCGGCAGAAGCCGAAACAAAAATCCCCTTCTCCGTCGCCCCGAACGATCCAATTGCAATCGGGTCAAGATTATAGGTGGCGGTTCCACCGCCAACGGAGATTGAGATTATGTTCACCCCATCCTCTGCAGCTTTATCAATACCGGCAAGAATATCAGATTCCATACAGCCACGTTTCCAACAGATCTTGTACGATGCTATCCGTGCTTTGGGCGCCATTCCGACGGCAACTCCGGCGGCAAACCCGAGCAGAGACGCGTTCGCAACCGCCCTTCCGGCGGCCGTAGAAGCCGTGTGTGTGCCGTGGCCGTCGGTGTCCCTCGGAGATTTCAGGTCCGCGGTGTGATTGTTTCTGATTACGCCGCCGCGAGCGGCGTCGTAACCGGCTGAGAAGAACCGGGCACCGATGATTTTCTTGTTGCAGAGATTTTTGGTGAAATTCTCGCCTTCTTCACACTCACCTTTCCAATGGGCAGGAACCGGACCAAGGCCTTCGTCGTGGAAACTCCTTCGTTCAGGCCAAATTCCGGTGTCCATCACTCCAATGATCACATTCGATCCCGAATCAGATTCGGATAAAATCCCATTCGGGGTCTCCGATGTGATTCCTAAAAATTCAGGGGACCTGGTTGTTTGAAGTTGTCGAATTCGGTCGGGCAAAACCGAAAGAACTTGGGGACGATTCTTTAGCTCCTCTGCTTGTTCTGGAGTGAGCCTTGCAGAGAAGCCATGGAAGACGGTTTTGTAAACGTGGAGAAACTCTGCTCTGGATTTCCTTCCATCGGTTTGTTGTTGTTGTTGTCCTGCTTCGTCTTCGTTTAATTGATTTACAGTAGTCAGGCTTCGAAGAGTGGCACTGTACCATTCTTCAGATTCTGTAAATTCGGACGGTTTCAAGTCATCCTGGATTCTGACAATGAAACTCTGATGAGCATTTATTTCTTCTTTCCCATAACTAATTTTACCCAACCTAATGAAGACTAGTACAAAACAGAGCACTACCCATACTTGTTGATTCATGATTTGAGACATAAAAACCTCGTATCTTATTATCTCACATATAATATTAAAAAGAAACTCAAACAGTGTGTAATAATCCCAATAAGCTAGGATTTTTTGTTCATATGATTTCTACAGATTGGTTCAATCTAGATATACAGAGGAGAGGCGGTGGGAAGGTAGCAGAAAGGAACAAATTAACATTCAGTAAAGTAACGTATGTGGGGAGGGGGCCTTCAATTTCATGCTTTGCATGCATGACGCTTGGAAGACCCGAAATTTCAAAAGCGGCAAACAGACAAGTGAGGACAGAGTGTATTCATTTACTGCATTCTAAATATCACAACCAAATTTGTTGCAAAATGTCAAAAAATTCCAATTTGGTATGAGTTGTTTGAAAAGTTTGTGTTTTTTTTTTTTCGAATTCAAAAAGTTTACGTTTTTCTTCATCATCATCACTAAAGAGAGGTGATGACTTTTTTTTTGGCAGGAAAGGAATGATGACTTTATGGGATTTTACTACCTTTTATGGATTCAATTTACGAGATTACAGAGATGATGATGATCTATTGCTTTTGTATCATAGTACGCAAATCACAAGTTACAAGAATAGAAAAAAACAAACAAAAGTGGTCGTCTGAGGTTTGAACAGCTGTGATATAACGTAGTAGTGCTTGGAAGAGGTGCAAAACCTTATCTTTTGTCGTGGAGCCTTTTCCTTCTGATTTTGTAGCATGGAAATGTCGACGCATTACTAACATTAAACGGATGCATAACACACTTGAATTAATATTTACTCGAATCAGATGAGTCTCTTATGGAAGGAAAAACTTTCTTGACAAAAATTTTGACCACTACTATATTTCTATGTCTGAAAATTGGAGATCATAATTAAACCTTATATATTCTTTAATTTCCATTGAGTATGACTCCTGGAAACCTAGCCTTCTTTTCTTGGAATTGAGTTTTCTTATTCTTTATTCTCCTCTCAAATTTTAACAGTACCCATGACGAGATAGCTTCACCTTCCTTTTTACTAAATTTCGGTTTTTATCTTTATTTCATTTTGTTACCTGGCCATCTTCAATATAGAGCTTACATTATATATTAAGTAAAATTCCTGAAAGATCAAATGAAATTTATTCAGTTGATGCTAACATAATGAATATTGAAAAAAAAGAAAGAAGAAGACCACCTTACATTTTACTTTGCCCATGCCATATACTTTTTATTTTTAATTAATATAATTAGATGGACACTATTTAGTGTGATGTTTTATTGGAAATAAGAGACTGAAAATCACATTAGCATCTCTCCACATAGGAGCTTAAGGGTAGACTTTTTTCAGTTTGAGATTGATTTTTGTGTTTCTTTGGGACGTACTCTTTCAGTTCCATCCCAAGATCGTTTCAACAAAAAAGGAGTGCCCCAATGAGGAGAAATGAAGCCCATACTCCTGGTAATAACAAGTTACCGTACTCTCACCACAACCATTTTTTCCTTGCACATTTGCGAAACAAAAAGTTCTTACCATTTACAAAAGTATCTTTTACACCTTAAATGTTTTGATTTAGATCTTTTTAACCATCTTCACAAAAAGTGTTGATTCAGTTAAGGTGAAACCGTCTTAAAGTGAAAACCATCCAAAAATGGATCTTAAGCTCATTTCTTTTTTAAGATGCTCATTAGCAGATTGAAAACTACAGCTTCTTTTAATACTTTTTTAGGTAGTTTTTAGAAATGAGGATCTATTTTAGGATGGTTTGTCCTTCTTGGTCAATACTATATGTTGTGTTGGAAAGGTAAAAACATCTAAACCGAAATAGGAACCAACATTCAAACCCAAAAATTTCCCGAGCTAAGAGTAGTAGTTCATTAAAAATTTCCGAATGGTCTTTTTGTTGAACTGAACATGTTAACGTCACATTCAACAGTTGTTATGAAAGGCCTTGAAGGCCTCCAGGCCTGTATGTAAAATGGGCTTTCCTCCATAAAACATGAGGAACCAATCTCTTCTTTTTTCAAATATTTCCATTTGGGAAGTTCTCAACGTCTTCAGCATACAGGCTTTTAATGGAGGAATCATGGGATAACGAAGACAGGGACTGGAAGCTGATATGGAGTTGAAAGGGTCCAGAAAGAATCAAGACGTTTCTTTGGCTGCTTTTAAGGGGAGTTCTAATGACAAAAGCAGAGAGGAAAAGGAGGCATTTGACTGATGAAGAAAATTGTCATCTATGTGGAGGGGTGGAAGATCTGTTCCATATCTTCCGGGACTGTTTTAGGACAAAAGAGCTATGGCGAAGCATCAATCCGGAGCTCAACACGAAGTTCTGGTATGAAACGGACTGGAAGCTTTGGATCACATCTAATTTGCGGTCTTCTGTTTTGCAGGATAACTACAAATGGATGACATGGTATGCAGTAGCTTGCTGGAAGCTGTGGAAAACCAGGAATGATGAAGTATTCAACGATGCCGACATATCAACAAGGACACTTAAAATATCAATATCAGCATTGGTCAAGCAAATAGGTCGTTCTATCTCGATTTTTGCTCACCCGAACGACACAAATAGAAGTGACACATAACAGCAAGGCAGGGAACCTCCACTTGGCAACACCATAAAAATTAACACGGACGGTGCAATGGCCGCCTCCGGAAAGGCAGCTGCAGGCGGAGTTCTTAGAAACAATGAAGGACAATGGATAATTGGATATGCTGCAAATGTAGGCTGTTGTAGCTCCTTGGAAGCAGAGTTTTGGGGAGTGTTTTACGGTCTTAAAATTGCTTGGGACCTGGGATTCCGAGACATCCAGGTAGATATTGATTCTCATGAGGCTGTTGAGTTTTTGGTGAATGAGGACTCATCCTATGTAAATAGTATTGTATTTGGTAGAATTAGATCCCTGATGAACCTCAATTGGCGAGTTTTGATCAGACATACCCGACGAAATCAAAATGTCGTCCAGGATGACTTGGCAAAATTCGGGTTCTCATGCCCGTTTGGAAACCATAGTTTATCAACACTTCCATCAAAAATTAAAAATAGGTTAAATTTAGATTGGGTAGGATCATCCCGCTCCCAAAGGATGTTTTGTAAGCTAAAGCCTTATGGCTTCCAACGTATTTTTTAAAAAAATTTTCCATTTGGAAATGTCGATTCAACAAATTGCATACTGTTCATTCCATAACGAAAAGAATCACAAGTCTTTCTAAAGATTTATCATTTCTCCAAATCGTGGCATCAGTTGAGGTTTTGGTGTTTCTAAATTCCATTTTTCACGAATGGTAATGCAAATTTTTCAGGAAAGATGCGGTGTTATTTATCTGACATAAGTCCTGGCGAAGCATGGATCTGCACGGTGCCTTAGGACGGGCGGCGATGATGATCTAGGTGGCGGCGGACGGCCTAAAACCTACAAGACAGAGCCTCGGGTGTCTCCCGATGGTAGACTCTCCGATACTTAAGTCAATAAGGGAATAAAGAGAATAGAGAGAGAAGGATGTGTATCGTGTGTAGAACGTGTAGAAGATAGGTAGAAGATGTCAATTATGGGAGAGGCACCACCTCTTTATATAGAAGTGGTGTTACCTGTTTCCTGAAACCTAGTCGTAATAGGTTTAGGCGGTGACTTAGCCTCCAAGGTAGTCGGCCCAAATCCATTAGAGTTAGGGTTTATTTTATGACTCGTCAAGTGTCCCTAGCAAGTCATATTCTCGAGACTTGATGAGAGGAATATGGGTTGCTACGAATGTTGATATTTCCTCGAGTTTCGTAGTGTTGCCCCAGTTCTCGAACTCTTTCGTTCTCGGGTGTCACCTATATAAGATAAAGAGAGATAGAATGCCTCGAGGAGGTCTTTTGTGTTAGAGAGTTCCTTGTTTGCGCAGTGGACCGCGAGTGTCCTTGTTTGCACGGTGGACCGCGAGTATCCTTGTTTGCGCGATGGACCGCGAGTGTGTAGATCATTGAGATGGAATACAAGATAATAATGACATGTAGCAATAAGATGCTCCTAAAGAATATCCGTTCAAGCAGAGGATATTATGATGATCTCTCAACTTCCTTGCCCTTAGGGTTTTTTCCAGTTTGTGCCCCGAGTACGTTTTCCTCGTTGAAGAGAACCACGAGATTATTTTCCTCATTGCAGGGTAATGGGAATTTTCCCTAGAGGGTTGATTCTTCGAAAGATTCCTTTGATCGTGCTCAAAAAGATATCGTGATATGATAGTAATATGATAATAGTATCAGATATTAAAGCATGAAAGGTTTTAGAAGTACCTCGATCTCATAATAAATTGATTATTCGAGAAAGTGTTACCTCGATTCCGAGAAGGTAGTAGTTGAGTAGATAAAAGTCGAGATACGTCTTCTCGAATACTTCGAGTAGTAGTAAGGTGCTCGAGGGATGCTTGCCCCTTCGAGAAGATGTATCTTCTCGAACACTTCGTGTAGTAATATGGTGCTCTAGGGATTGTGGCCCCTTCGAGGAGATGTATCTCTCAAAACTTCAATCCTTGAAATTGCCCCTTGCTTCAAAAGACTTCAGAGCTTATATGGATTTGCAGATCATATCAACCCGATGATCACCGTGAAGAACAAACAAATTTCGGCTTTTTTTTCAAGAAATTTATGTGGTTGTAAGGACCAAAGAAATCGGTCCCACTGGGCGTGCCACTTGACGAAGCATGGATCTGCACGATGCCTTAGGATGGGCGGCGATGATGATCTAGGCGGCGGCGGACGGCTTAAAACCTACAAGACAGAGCCTCGAGTGTCTCCTGATGGTAGACTCTCCGATACTTAAGTCAATAAGGGAATAAAGAGAATAGAGAGAGAAGGATGTGTATCGTGTGTAGAAGGTGTAGAAGATAGGTAGAAGATATCAATTATGGGAGAGGCACTACCTCTTTATATAGAGGTGGTGTTACCTGTTTCCTGAAACCTAGTCGTAATAGGTTTAGGTGGTGACTTAGTCTCCAAGGTAGCCGGCCCAAATCCATTACGGTTAGGGTTTATTTTATGACTCGTCTCCGTATAAATATTTTTATATCAATGTATAAAATTCTTGGATTACCCTTCTTTAAGTGTCATAAGAAATAAAATCTCTAGTGTTTCAAGTGTTTTAATAAAAGAAAAAAAAAAACATTATACATACATAATAAGCGAGAAAGATCGTATTAATATGGTATCGATCGTAGGTTGTCAATAATGTATACGATGTGTACTTCGGTCCCAGTGAAGAAAGAATTCAACTTTTTTAATAATGTTTGGATAAGATGAATACGACTTTTTATTTGTGAATGAGGGAGTAGATGCTCAATGATCACTAATACATGC